CCGCCGCGGCGTCCGTCCCGCGTCACGCCATGTCGAGGCGGTTCCTGCGTGTCACCTCGGCGTACCATCGGGCGCTCAGCTTGGGCACGCGCTCGAGGGTGTCCAGGTCCACGTGGTGCAGCCCGAACTTCTTAGTGAAGCCGTAGCCCCACTCAAAGTTGTCCAAAAGTGACCAGACAAAATAGCCCCGCACGTCGACGTCGTCGTTCAAAATAGCCTTGTGCACCTCTGCGCGGCGGTTTTGGGGCGGCGTGTGGTTTGCGGACATTGGGTGGCGTGGGCGACGAGCCGGTCGTGGAGACAGCTGGCGGTTTGGGTGGCCCGGGTGCGGGAATGTATGACGCTTTGGGCGCTGCCAGGCAGGACGCGGCGGGCGTGCGGCTGGGGCGCTGCGCGGCGTTCCGCCGCCATGTGGACGGCGCGCGGCGGGGACGCTGCGCGGCGCACCGGGATTGCTTTGACAAAAACGCAGGCGGACCTCTCTGGGACGTGCCCCAGCGCGTGCTTTCCCTCCCAAAAAACTGTTGCCAACAGCCCACCTGTGAGGTAGCGCTTGAGATAGACGGCCCGCTCCACGTCCTTCACGGCGTCATCCACGCCGTCCTCGGGGATTGCGGCGCCGTTCTCTGTGATGATGATGCCGCCCCTAGGGCTGAACTCGTCCTGGGGGGGGTAAGAGGGTGCGCAGAGGTGCTTACAAATGTCGACAGGGGAAGGTAGGCGCCTGAAAAGCTGGGCCAAACAGCGCAGCATCCCTTTTGGGTGGCATTTGGAGGTCTGCATGCCGTCGTGCTTGACACAGGTGGCCGCAGGCGGCCGCATGGAAAGAGCCCGCGTATGCCCGCCCCAGGTGTTGCTCCAGCCCCAGCCCCAGCCCCGGCCCCCGCATCCGAGCCCCCTGGCCCACCAAGCAAGGCCGCACCTGCACCCAGTTGAGCATCTTGCGGATGCCTTCTGGGTGCACCCCCCAGCCCATGTCTGTGGTCTTCCAGGCCGCGTCGTCGCTCTGGTCGACACTCACGTCCTGCCAGTACCCCGTGGACTCGATGTAGGGGTCGTGGAACGCCTCTGGAGCAGCAGGAGATGGGGGGACGGATGGAGGGTGGATGGGTCTTCAGGGGGGAAGCCCAGTGTACTGTGCTCATGGGCTTTTTGTGTTGTTTTGTGTTGCCTGCGTGTGTGTGTGTGTGTGTGTGTGTGTGTGTGTGTGCGATCGTATGCGTGTGCGTGTGCGTGTGTGTGCGTGTGCGTGTGTG